CTCTTTCTCTTGTCATTTAGAATTCACTGTGATTGAGATGCCATAAGAGGGCACTACTTAGCACTAATCTGACACCACAGAAATATTCTATGTGGTGTTCTTGTTTCTTAAAACCTACATTTTTATTTTCAAGACAAAGTATATCACTTAGACAACAGGCAGCAGGGCAAATATAGCAGCAGCAAAAGGACAGATGGACAGGTATTTTTTCATATGAAACCTTCTAAACTGTATCTCCATATAGCATTGTACTATGAGCATTTCCATCCTTATTACAAGGGCTGTGTATCCACCCCTGAGCAATTTAGATCTGAGGCTGCATTGTTTCTAATCCTCTAGCTCCTTTCATCACAGGACTATGAAGCAATTTCACCAGTTAAAAAGTTATAGCACCTCAAGATGAACTTCTTGACATCCAAATATCTTTTTACCTTGAAGGGAAGCTCTGACACTATAAAGGGTCTGAGCCCACATAATAGAATCCAGTAGCCATGAGCTTGAACACAGGCTACTGTACCGAAGGAGTGCTTTGCTGACATACTGCTATGCTATGTCAGCAAAACACTCCTTGTGAATATGCAACTTGCATGGCAAAATTTAATTTTTCTACCAACATTCATTCCAAATCCCTTGAGCAAAATAACTTACAGTGGCAAAAATTCCATTTTTGCTGATATAACTGTAGAGATTGTACTTCATCAAGTGTCTGACATCATGCCTATGCCGATGAAGTCTTGCAGCGTAGCCCTGGCTAGCAGGAGTCCAGACATTCTGGGTGCAGAAGATTATCTGAATACTTAAAAACAGCTGTAGTGGTTCTTTCATTGCTTCACTCTTCATTTAAATACCTGCCCACCCCGCAATTTGTAGTCAAATAGAGACTATAAATAGTTCTAATGTATATGGGTCAGAATCCTATAGAAAGGTAAACAATAAATTATTAAACTACAAACTCCTATTTCTTACAAAATTATATTTCTGCAATCTGTTAATACTTCCAGTTCTGCTGGTGGCTTTCTGGCTGATTAAGTTAGTTCCCTTTGATTTCAGATGGAGAACTTCACCTGCAATTTCCCATCAGCAAAACAGGGTTTAAAATAAAATAAAATAAAAGTACTTTGAGAATTACTGATGGCAAAGTGCTGTGAGTGACATAGATGCTGGTGTTTATTACTTTCATTGCTCTGTTTGGGCCTTTTGGCTATCTTTGAATTTTATGAGGGAACAATGACAATTTTTTGAATGGGCAGTTTAAATATGTTTAGTTTTTACTGAGTGGTGAAAGGGCATCTGGCTGGTTGCAGAGGTAATGTGGTCCAGCTGATAAAGCAGCAACCTTCAGTGAGACCTGGAGTTTTAATCTCAATCTGCCACTAACCTATTATGTGACCCTGGAAGTGTCACTTAATCTCTGTCTCTTCCTGTCCTTCCTTTTATCTGCCTTTATCTTTTTCCCTCTTAGATGTAAGGGCTCTTCATATATCTGTGTGTTTGTTTAACACAATGGGGCTCCGGTTCAGCTGGGGCCTTTAAGTGTTGTTGGAATAAAAATAGCAAACTACTATTAACAGGAATGAGACTTTTAACTGTTCATCTCCTGAATTTAACCTTTATAAGTTCTTCCAACAGTCCAAAATGCTTTGCACCACCCCTGCAAACTGTCTACCCCTCCCCTCCCCTCCCTGCCCCCACCCCGTGCAGGGTAGGCAAGCTAGCTTTGACCCAAGATGTCTCCTCCAGCCCAGCAGGGAGAGGTGCTCTCATGCCTCTCAGCTTCTGGCCTGGGCCACCACAAGAATGTGGCTGCACTTCCAGAATCAAAAATGGATGTCTGTTAATTTGCTTACTGGT